TAGCCACTCCTAGCCGCCTTCAGAACTAGGCCCAAACTTTGCAGCTTTCTTTGATCACAAAGCACATATCCTGTTTGATCTACTCATTTTTTGGTATCAGTCTATTGACCTTTTCTTCACTGCGCTTGTTACTCAGCTAAATTGTTTTCATGTCGGTGATCTGACTCATCGATTTTCCAATGTTCATCATGTGATTATGTCTAAACTGTGAGGAATTCCTAGGCTTCTTTCACTTCACTGGCACATGTAGCCACGCACCCCACAACTATAATAGTTACTTTGCATTAGTCTGTATTATCATGAATTGACCGACGGTTTACCATGTGGAATCGTCGCTCTCGGCTACAGTTCTACCCTGTATACGGTATTGAAATGCGCTGTAATGGACAACGAACAGCACCGTACTACAGATAGTCGCTTAATCACGTCATCTGCCGTACGCGCCACACTCCAAAAGCCTAAATCTCTGTACACTAAAGTAGAATTGCAGCTTTGACTTCATGCTGAGTCGCCTAGTCCCGAAGTGGTCATGCGACCTTCCCGCGCTTTTCTTTGTCCTTCATGACTATCTGGCTATGTATGGTTGCTATTATTTCTACTTTTAAAAATTTGTAAAAGTGATAAAATCTTTCAGCAGTACGCTGTGACCTTTTACCGACGCTTTGCTTCCACCTAACCACCACCAGTCGCATACGGGTTGAGATAGTGTACGGTTGCTCGCGCGTACACAGTCTCAAACCGGTGACCCGCGAGTAACTAGCCAGAGGACTGAACCACTCTGCTGCAGATCCGCTCTTCACACATTTGGATCAAGTCGTTAGCTACGCATTTCCGATCGAAGTGCTTGAAGCGTTTGTCCTGTGCACTGATTTAGTTTATTTAACTTGTTTCTCATTCCTTTTCTATTGGCTCCGCCACAGGTGATATGGCGTGTTCTATTGAACCCGATATTCTTCATGACCGTGATCGGTGTCGCATTCAATTTTATCCTGCATCATCACATTCCAATTTGGGTGGACGGTCTTTTAAAGATCATTGGTACGTCCTCTTTGACCTCTCCCTTGTCCCCGATGATTCTGGGCTAGATGTACTTCATGACCTCCGTTTTACCTCACTCAGTAAATTATAGTTTTTACTCCTGTCCATCCCATGGTCCTACAAGTTTTCCGGAAGACGTGCTTCTTCGAAACAAATGTTTTCATGGGATCTTACATTCATTCGGATGTGCCAGTTTCCTTTTCTGCTTACTCGTCACTCCGCAGTATTTGCATGATTGCTGTTATCATTGTGGCCGTTTTGAAACATTTCACACCCTTCCCTGCCGTGGCATTTCTACTATTTCCGAGTTGGTGGCCTTTATTTTAGCTTATCTGATAGAGCTTGAGGGGGATTTTCTTGTACGTGCACCACAGGCCACTCGGCCTCCTGTCATGGGGGACGTGGTGTATCAGTCAGCAGCATCTTGGTTTTCCTCTTTTTCCTCTCTTTCGAATTACGCCCTTGGAATTCACAGCTTCTGGTCTCTTCAGTCTTCTTGTCCGGATCTCTTTTGTGTTGTCATTTTGTGGTAACAGATGACAAATACCACCTCATCAATTGGATAGATGCCTAAATAAATAAATAAGGGATATATTCCTCGACAGTGCAAGGCATAGTCCAACTGATTGGTCTGGTCATTATCTACAACGTGATTGCATGGGACGGACAATATTTCTTCGAGTACTATTTTCAGAGCAGTTCCGAAACTATTTTGCGGGGCTGATTGATCGGTTGCATCTTTCAAATAGATGGATTGGTTGCTAATAATAATAATAAATGCATTTGAATCTAATTGTTCTAGTAAAGTAATACGGCCAGCCGTGGATTCGTCTCCACGGGACCTATTTCCATGCAGGCTAGTCTCTCCAAAGATTTCACGGGCACTTCCATGTCTGTTTTGCTCGTGTGCTGGTGTGGCTTGAAAGTAGGGTTGCCATCACCAATTATACTCATCTTTTGGGTGCTTTTTAAGTGTATATATATTGGACATTTAGACCTTATACCCCGTCGTATCAATCGGTTTTTTGAGTCAAGCACTTTTATTACGTGTCTGGAGGTCTAAGACATCTTGCCTCGCATGGATTCATCTATTGGTTTGGAAGTTAAAATCCGTCACCTCAGGTGATCGACCCGGTCTGGGCCAACACTGGAGTAAACAAGTATATAGAATATGAGGAGGTAGAAAGGTAATTACGGTAATGATGATAAATAAGCAGTTGTCGTATTTAGTTACCGCCAAGATAAGCCAACGGATTTCTCGATCAACTTGTGCGGTGGGATCACCGTATTAGGTGGCTGCTCGGATTATCGATATACGAGACACTTCTAAAAGGAATCTTCAGGTTTACCCGACAATTGCCTGAGTTCGCAAAATACCTAGCCGCTATGCTTGCATCTGTTGGATGTGTTGATTAATCTCTTGCCTTCAGCTGTTAGACTTGACATCGATCGCTTACTAGCCTGTCAACTGTTCACGGCTCGAGAAACTTGGTTGCTGATATTGTGGGCTCTGCGCTAACATCACCGATGGTTAAATACCCTGAGCTCATTTCTTGGCTATATACGCTCCACGTTTCGTTTATGGTGACACAACGAATCTGTCTCTGCCGTTGTATTGACTATACCTAGCGTTTGCTTTGCTGCGCAGCCTTACGGCGCTGAAAAAATTTACCCATATATCTCCTTGCTTTGCAAATGTGTAGTATTTTTTATGGATTTTTGATCATCATCTGTAGAAACAGCTCCTCCTCTCCTTTCTGCATTACAATATTTCCCCAGCCGATTCTTTCGCCGCGACCGCTCTATTCACACTTGGTTTCGGAATGGTCGGCAAGGTGACGCATATCACTCAACAAGAAGTGCACATTCTATTTATCATACTACTTACTAAACTGTAAGTGGCTTTTGATTGATGATTGCGGCTCTGTACACTCACATGAGAAACCTTTTAAGTTTTGAGCAATTTTAGCTTGTTCTGGATACGCTAGTGGATCCAACTAGTACCACATTTTCATTCGGTAAATATACCAAAGCTTATCCTATTTAATCACCCATTGTATATCTGCACATTTGCCAATCGATAGCTCCCACCTGTCCCGTCACCTACACACTTTACTTCCTAAGACAATACAGAGAATGGCACTGAACTAGCCTCTACGGTCGCTTAAACCTCGAATGCGTTTTGTCCTATTTAGAAAACTGCAGACTGGGTGGCGTGCCCAGCGAACGCTCATTGCTGCATAGGGTCCTTGTTTTCCTATAAAAAGCGAATATTTGGCAAGAAAGTAATTCCATTTCTCTTTGGTTTATGTTTTTCAACCCATCGTCTGTCAGTAAATGACAGCCCTGTCCGTTTTGGTCAGAAAAAGCGTTCAGGTTACGCACCTACCTATTGCCTTAGTGTAATCACACAAAATAAGCTGTTTGCGGACATCGAATCGAGTCCAACTGCAGTGTCACAGATTCTAAGTTAGAAGAAGAGGAACATTTATGCAAGTCATTCGGTTTCAACGGTTATCCATGCACACGGAGTCCATGCCAACAATAAAGAAACGAATTGTTCTTCCGTCATGAATAACATACCCCAAATGACAGCAGACTGTTCAAACAACACCACATGATGCCCCACAACGCGACTGCCACCTTGAGGAAAACACCAGTAAAACGGAGGGAGCAACGAGAAGTGCATAAGTGACAAATTGGCGGGAAGCACTACGTCTGCCGAGCTGAAAGGTACTTGATATGGAAGACGCAAAAAAGAGACTTACTCGAAATTTGGTTCTCCACAAATAATTCGATCGATATGCGCGTCAATATCGATTCATTATACCAACCGTTGAGAAAGAAAGAACTCAAACAATGTGGAAACCGTATTTCGTAGGATAGATAATTCAGTACCGGAAAATAAACAAAACTGTTGGTATTAACCCAGAGTGCTAACTTTCCACCTTCTCACCAATCGAATTGAGAGAGTTTTAGCCACACCATAATACTATTTTTGTGGCCAATCGCAAGCACCTAAGTACGAATGTATGATACAATAACCATCCAATCGGAATAAAGTAAAGTTATAAACAGCAGAAACCCACGGAATGAACAGAGTACTATCTGACAACATCCTTCCACTTATTGCCTTCTGCCAATACCAGTTACGTAATCACTACTCCTGTTGCACTGATGAAGTCACCTCGACTAGCGGACGACACGTTTGCAATTAAATTGCGCAGCTTGGCGACCAAAGCAACAACTTAACTGCTTCATGTGCACAAACCAGTTGCGCTCGACGTCTGACAAAACGTTTCTTGACTTAATAGAGCCCTAGTTGGTCATAGCACTACATTCCTTACCCATTTTCAGTTCACGTGGTTGCCTCGTCTCATCATACTTTTTTGCTGTCAGACTCATTACAAGCTCCCATTTAAGTAGGTCCCACTGTTTCTGGACCTTTGGCGCACTGTATAGACTCGTTCATATATTGGAACGGGTCATACACCAGCTTTTTGCTAGCCCTTGGCTTATTTTATGATGTTATGATTTTCGCGTCCTCTAACTCCCTTTGGAATTGCCTCTGTTGTACTTGTTGCGATTGGTTGTTTCAGTAATACCTTTACCCACCTAAGCTGATCGTTGATGCTTGTATCTCTACCATCCTCGTTTAAATACTAAGCTTTGTTTTTCTTTCTGGGACAAAATTGTGTCCCCCCTTTTTAATCGCGGTTGTTTCACTACATTATATACCAACAGCATAACCAACACGTAGTTCTACATTGGCTTTGATCTAACGCTGTTCCACTACTACTTTTCTCACTCCATCACCACCTGTACGTGTTTACCCAATTGAACACCGATAATCTGCATTCTTACTCCTCGGCCTTTGTTCCAACACGTTCTGTGACATTCTTTTCCCACCCTGCTACAGCGTCATTTTACCTTTCGTGAATCGCGAGCTAACCGTACAACTGATGCCTGTCAGCTGGGCCAATGATACACTTCGGTATTCCACCTTCGCTTTCCTATACGGGACCATTCCCACTGCACCACCAGTCTATCTGTTTGCAGCCGAATACGGGGTTATGGAGGTAGTGGTAAGTCCTTGTGATCCTACTACCATGCTTCCTCTTGTTTGCAAGTTCGATTCGCTCAATGCTCCATCTTTCATTTTGGCTCTCCCTGTAGGCAGACTCTTGGGGTACATGGCTGAATTTCGTGACACACCACGGCAAAGGGTGTCACCGGTGAGTACGTAGGCCTTGATGACTCCTAGTATGGTTGGGGTGTCATATCTGGAATTCTTTTCGCGGGACCTTAAAAGTATATGGCATTTGGTGAAATTCTTTAAAGGTCTTTGCGCAGTTCGCTCTCCCCCAGCGCCTAGAGCCTACTACCTTCACATTGCACAGACCTTAGCAACCGGTCTTGACCATATAGCATTGGACAGATTGCAGACGAGCACCAGAACAATGTGATTCTGGTGAATTCAATTTTTACTGACGATTGGGCTACTTCAATTCCTGTTACTTGTACATTAGGTTCTAACGCGTTCCTGCATCATCCAGATTTGGTGAGCATTGTTTTATAGAATAGCCACTACCAGCTTCTGTGCACTTACCCAAAGGAGGGTGTACATGGTCAAAGGTAAGAGAGATACGAATGATGATTTTTCAATTATTTTTAAGCAATCTACGAATAGACATTGTGCCATCAACAATCATTGCAATAAAGGAAAGCGCGGTTATGGTAAAAAGTATACCAAACACAACACAAATAATCTGTGGTTTCTTCAGTGGGAGTGACACGACCCAATGGCCTATGCCTAAGTATGGAATTGACTTAGGGGGCATATCGCTGAGCCGTTCTCTGAATATCCTACTCGCAAGTCAACGGAATGAAGTCAGAGAACCGCACCAAATGGGATCCTGTGCCTGAGCGCTCAGGTCATATGTCTTTCGTTTAGTCGTTTACAAAACAGGGACTTAGTCCTCCCCATGAAGTCAGCAGCATGCTGATAGTATACTATGCCTCATCATAGTGAAACAAAGGGGCAACGACTTTATTTATTGGTAAGTCACATCTGCCACATCACAGTGTTAAACGGACATATATGGCTTTTCATAGGGAGAACGCTTGTCAGGCAAAAATCCACCATGTCCCGGAGCACTATCCCCGAACTATTTTCTAGAACCTGAGGATCCCGAACCACCCAGCTAGCCATCCGTGGAGGTCGTTCGACGAGGCAGTCATATCCATGGCGAGCGAACCGTTGAATCGTCAGATGCATCGTGTATGTCTTATCCATGTGGAACACTGACATGCAGAGCAGCCGGCGCCAAATGGCTCCTGTTGAAGGACAACGAGGTTGGAGAACTGAATTGACTTACTGTGTTCTCATTGGCCTGCTCCGCACTCCGCTGTTGTTGCGAGCCATATGAGATTGCACCAAAATCCAGTTTGTTCACCTGAATAGTGCTACAACTGTCCTTTCACATTGGTGTTGGAAACTTAATGTATTCATTCTATCTCTGTATGAAGTGAAACTATTTCATCTGCCACCTAATCAGCCATTAACTACGAATCCATCTGAAGGCAAACGTACCGTCTGCTCTCGATGTGTATATCTGCCAAGCATATCCCTGACATACAATGACTTCGTCTGAACGGGCCAGTCTGCCTATGGCGCTTGTCTGCTGCTGCCGCTCCTTCATTGACAACCCCTCACCCCACACCCAACTCATCATTTCGTCTCAACAGATCTTCTTATTCGTTATCATCAACCGACTATTTGAATCGGTTATTAGGCTTATCTGCTTATGCACCGATACTATATCTGAGGGTCAATACTTTAAATGAGTAACTGTGGGTGTCAGTAAAGCTTATGTTCATTTTAATGCCTTACTCATCCGGTTACCCGGTAGAATATCATGATTATCTCCCCGTAACCGGCCGCACAACATCGTGCTGCAATCAGCGTTGGTCTGTTGATCGGAAACATGGCGACTGTGTCTCTTTGTCGGTTATTGATTACGTTGTATTATTCATCTCAAACTAAATCATCAGATTAATTATTACCAGCAGCAGCGTCCAGCCGATTCCTTGTGGTTGATGCAAATGTCGCTTTCGACCTTGCTGGGTAGAGAGTTCCGGAGCTCCTATCTTCCAACACTTCACTCCACGACTGGTTTCGTCCTGATGTGGCCTCACCAGGTAGGAAAGATATCCTGAGCTGAGAGTGGAACTCGACTCGTAGTGATTGACGGTTTAAATCTTGGTTACTAGGCCAGAACTCTGCGATCAGCGTTTGATACAGCGATTAGAAGTTCATTACTGGGTCTTGGAGTACCAGTGCTGTGTGTCTGGACTGCGACGCACAATCTCAGTTGTGGCCACGGTCTACTTGGAGGTAACCGGCGGTCCCAATTGCGATTGGGTGTTGCAGTTCAGTCACGCCTCGGGTATTTCAAAAATCCAGCACACAGTGCGACTGATATACTCCTGCTGATAAAACTGCTCTTTCCATCCGTTTCAATTTCGCAATTTGGGTCATCTCTTGACAGCGGAGTTCCCAACCACTCCTGAATGTCGTACAATCGAGAGAATCCGGACTAGTCACATGGAAACAGTTGGAGGATCTAACTACATTCGAACTTTGTAAATTTCATTTACCGGCTATCGTTCAGACGGTGCATACTGGGTATGAACAGGATCGGTTGCAAAATACCGACCAAACTATTTCTGTATTCATACCACCTATTGAGGCAGTTGGCATTTTGTTGTGTGCATGTGGATGTCGGTATCATAACTGATTGTTTCACTAACGGATGATTTCCTGAGACAAGGGGAGCCAATTATTGGAAGAGGTCACGGTGATTATTCACCGCTCCGAACTCCTCCACCTTCCGAGACATTTGAGCCGAGCAGGCCTATCAGGTCTCACGTTTCGCACTATTTCGGGTATGTGTTCCCTTTGGTCACATTATACCAATTGCTAATAGGATGCCGATAAACTCACCGACACCGGATTCTCAGTGCCCGATGAGCAAACGGTGTATGTCGCCGCATACAGAAACCTTCTTGCTGTGTGTGTTAGCCGCATACCAGTCCACCGACTCCCGCAACGTGCGTTGTTTGCGCGCCGGGGTGTGGATGAACGAAGAGGAGGGGAGGTCAAGCGATGACTTAGTCGAGAAGAATGAAGTCCCACTTCAAGTGGCGTGGCTAGGAACCAAAGGATAATGAACACGTTTGGTTGGATACACATGGCAAAGAGTCGACCTCAGTGACGTTTGTGTTTGGAGTCACTTTGTCCCTCCCCTTCCGTTTAGCTACCCCCTCAACGGTACTCAAAAATGTGATATTAGCTTTATATTAATTTTTACGTGTACATCGCTTAATGTATCACATTTTTGTATTGCGGCACGTTAGCTGAGGTGTGTTTCTCACTCTTTGCTAACGTGTATTGCTACTGATGCTGTGTTCCGTCGAAACTCGATATCCCAAAGACAAACAGGTGAACACTGTCCACCCTACGCTGACCGTACCTTTGAATGTGGGCACTTCTGACTAATCAATCGATGGATCGTTTACTGAACATCTCACCTGAAGCTCACGAAATTCCGCATAGTCAGTCATCCTTACTGACAACGTGCGTGTCCCAACACGAACGGTGGTCAAAGCTGGAATCACGTGACCTGCAGTTGATGAGATCATTCGTTATGGTCATTCTCAGTCCATATGCAGAGGGGGGCACAAAGTGTTCCATCGCTGTCCTTTATGCCTGAATGTGGCGCTACTCAGAAGTTAGCACATTTTCGGAGCGGCTTTGCAGACAAAATCCGGAATTGAGTCCACCCTGTCACCTGCATAAGTTTCCCTGGTTTGCTCTATAATTCGCACCCGGTAGCTGGGGCTGTATATGGGTTGGTAGCTTCGCGTACTAACGTAGCACATTTATGATTTAAAAGAAATTCGGCACCCAAATCATTAGTAACCGCCCGAATGAAACCGGATCACCTCAGTGCATTGGTCATGTCAATTAAAGTCAAACTAAGCTTTATACACCATTTTCAGCACTTCACACCAACACTGGGGATATAGCACAACAAAGCGCCAATAAGAACGTAAAAATTGGCAGCAAGAAAACGAAAAGGTACCTCTTCACTCAAGCTTATGTGCGGCCGCACTTTAACTCGGCTCTCGCTTTGCCGTCTGTGGCCACTCTAATTCTCCCCACACCATATTGTGTGTGCGCTCGTTCGAACCAATTCGACGAGCTCTACTCAGTGCTTCCCAACTCTTGGATCTAACCTGTGTGGATTATACTCTTGCTCCAGTTCCCAGTTTGCGGCATCTTTTTTGCCGAGTTCTACTTGTGTAACTACATCAAACCGGATTTTTTCGGAAAAGGTTTTGGTATCATTCGGAAGAAGAAGCTAAGGGCTCCTAAACTACGCGGTAACCATTCCTGCAAGTTGCAGCATAACAAAGTTACAACCTTTTTGCTCCGCTCATCAACTGAGCAGCTCTAGGGACGCTTATCAGCACTGCACCTTCATGGTCGCTTAAGGCAGGCCGATCAACACACGCTGCCGCTTTGTGTGTGTGTGTGTGTGTGTTCAACTGCGAGTCGATTGATCGCTGAACCCGACAGTCTGCGCGTTACGACCTCCATCTGCCTCTACCGCCTGACCTTGGTGCGGTTGAACAACTCAATTCATGTGCGTGTTATGACGTGTTTATGCGTCACGCCTGGCGCAAAGAACACTCATCAAGGTAAGCGCTCAAATAGGCCTTGCTGCAAACGATAAGAGGACGACTAGCATTCCAATGGTTCAACGTCGCCTATGTTGCGCAGACAATTGCCGTAAAGTCCTTAAGATCAGTGTTACCTGTTCTAGCTGCATTAGATCGTACTGTCCACAATGGGTAGGCAAATACGTCCAGGCAGTGAGACAGCCAAACAAAGTTGCTGACACAATATGGTTTTGCCCAACATGTCAAGCCATTTCAGTTTTCAGCTGTTTATCTTTGTTCATGAAAAGGTGTGACAGAATAACTGAAATAATCACGCATTTTGTAAATACTAAGATCG